CAACTGTCCTCCATGAACGATTTTGCAGTTTAATCCATCATAGGAATTCCGTATGATATTGACTATCTTCTGAGGCACGCCGTAGTGTCGAAGAAGCTTCCATAGGGTTGTTCTGTCCACGCTATCAAATGCTTTTTCGTAGTTGATCAATTTAATATAGAGTGAAGAATTCCATTCAATTGATTGTTCCACAATGATCCGTAGAGTTGCGATTTGGTCTGTGCACGATCTATCCTTACGGAATCCTGCCTGTTGGTCTCGAAGTTGTGCGTCTACGGAGTCCTTCATCCTGTTTAACAATACCCTGTTGAAGACTTTTCCTAGTATTGAGAGAAGAGTGATGTGCCTGTAGTTGTCACAGTTGCTGAGATCGCCTTTCCTTGGTATTTTGACTGGAAGTCCTTCTTTCCAGTCTTTTGGTACCTGTTCCTCATCCCAAATCTTTCTGAAGAGAGTTTGGAGTATCCTTGCAGTTGCCGCTACGTCTGCTTTCAGTGCCTCTGCTGGAATGCTGTCTAGTCCTGCTGCTTTGCCACTCTTGATTTGTCTGATAGCCATGCTGATTTCTTCAATTGTTGGTGGGCCAACATCGATTGGGAGGTCCGTGAGTGCTGCTTCGATGTTGGGTGGGTTCAGTGGGGCTGGTCGATTCAAGAGTTCTTTGAAGTGTTCTACCCACCTGTTCCGTTGTTCTTCAATGTTGGTGATTATCTTGCCTTCCTTGTTTTTCACTGGTCGTTCTGGTTTACGGTGATTTCCAGCGAGTTTCTTTGTTGTGTCATACAGTTGTCTCATGTTTCCTTTTTTGGCAGCCTTTTCCGCCGTCATTGTTAAATCTTCCACATATTTACGTTTGTCAGTTCTGATGCTCCTCTTCACTTGCTTGTTTACTTCTGTGTATTCAGCCTGTGCCTTGGCTTTTTCTGCGCTTGTTCGGCTGGTATTGTTTGCTGCCTTCTTGTTCCTCGTTTCTTGAATCTTATCCAGTGTATCAACAGTGATCCATTCCTTGTGATGGTGCTTCTTTTGGCCCAGAACCTCATGACGTATTGAAGTGATTGCCTCTTTTATCCCTTTCCAGTTGTTCTTCATAGTAGTTCCCTCTCCATTGAGTAGATCATGAAAGGCCTGGAATCTATTGCTGAGGGCTATCTAGAATTTGTTGAGTTTGTCAGTATCCCGAAGAACAGCCGTATTAAACTTTTGTGATATTATCCGCCCCGTTGTCCCGTACTTCTTAAGTCTCACTTTCATCCTGGCGACCAGCAAGTGGTAATATGATGCTATATCAGCTCCTCTCTTGGTTCTCACGTCCTCCATCTTCCTCCTGAACTTTTTGTTGATGCAGATATGGTCGATTTGGTTCTGTGTAGTGTGATCCGGTGAAGTTCATGTGGTTTTGTGAATACGTTTATGTGGGAATATAGTGCCGCCTTTTACCAGTTTGTTGAAGGCACATAGGTTTGCAAATCTCTCACCATTTTCGTTCCTTTCTCCGAGTCCGTGTCGTCCCATAATGTCTTCATATCCGGTGTTGTCCATTCCAACCTTGACATTTAGCCCTCACATCAGAATGATCGAGTCCCTTGTTGGGCAGTTCTGGACGACTAACTGCAACCTATCGCAGAATTGGTCTTTGCGTCTTCATTGTAGTCGTTGGTAGGCGCATAGCATTGGATGAGGTTCATTGTAACCCCTGTTTTCTTTGTTTTGAAGGAGGCTTTGATGATCCTTGGTCTATGAGATTCCCATCCTATAAGTGTATTTTGTGCTTGGTTGGACAGCATCAATGCAACTCCTTGTGTATGTGGAGCATTTTCTTGTTCATGTCCGGAGTATAACAGCAGCTCCCCTGAAGCTAGTCGTTGTTGTCCAACTTGCGTCCAATGTGTTTAACTGATGCCAAGCACCTCTAGGTTGTATCTCCTCATTTCTGCAGCAATTTGGAAAACTCTCCCAGTCTCCCACATTGTGCGAGCATTCCATGTACCTAAATAAATGGTTGCTCTGGTTGTCAGAAGGGGCATCGACCTCGTGACTTCCGAAGAAACTCGGCTTTCATCGTGAGGCGTCATAATTCTTCTAAACGAAGACCTTCTGACTCCCGGGGCAGAGTTTAAATGGTTTGAATAATTCTTTCTGGTTAGCGTTTTTTTAGCGAGTTAGTTTTCTACAGGATGGGGTCGCTAACCCCATGCCCAACCCTCCTCCTTTATCCGGGCTTGGGACCGGCAGTAGCCCCCGGAAAGGGGCTCCAGGCGGAGTTATGTTAAGGGATTAACCAACACTTAATAATTTCATTACCCTTGTATAACTTTTTTATATTAATTATGATTACTGGTAACCATAACACTCGCTCTACACTGCATTATTACTTTCCAATATATAAATACACGTTGATCTTAACTATGTTTGTACATACACCTGTCCCATCTTTATTATTATCATAATCTTGGTCAAGTCTCGAATATTTATCTAAGCTTCAAAAACCAATGTATATTAAACAATTGTTAATAATCATATTGAGAATTGTAATTCTAGATTGTATGCAACTGATAAGAAATCGTGAGATAGAGTGAATTAATTTTATCCTCTCTTCCTAGTTTTTCTTGCTCTGCTCGAATACAATAAACCAATAATGAATGTTATAAGGGTCTAAATCAATAAAGACGAAAGAACGAAAAATAAAAATTCATTCTAGAAGTGATTTAGTTAGGTGTTGAGTCCAGTTGCGAACGATACAAACTGTAGAGATATTACACTAAATTATAAATGACTAACCGTTGTGAAAGTGACTGTATGTAAAATAAATTAATAAACGGAATACACCCATTAAGACATTAAATAAGAAAGATTAGTACAGCTTTGAAAATGAATTCGCCAAGTTTTAGTGGTGAATAGCTACACCTTTCGAAAAGCGAGTAATTATTGACAAGATTTGGAGATGTACAGAATATCATTCCGCAAATTGTAGGTAACTATTATACGAAACAAGTTCTGACAAAGAGCCATAGGAATACAGTCATGTTCCTGACAAACCACTAGGTATATAGGTAGAAAAAAACCAATAAAATATAAGATTGAGCAGCTTCATCAACAGAAGCAACACGTCAGATATTAGCTATAGTATCTGCCCGTTTGTTAAATTCAGTATCAGCTTTCATCTGTGATTCGGGTGTACAACTTTATCTACAAAGTGTATGAACAGCGAACATCTCAGTCATAACCCTGTTCTCATGAGTTAACCTTTCTCAAAACAATATTTGACGATAAATCTACCCTAACCACAGAAGTACGACAATACTAACGTTTGTCTAACTTTGAAAACAGTTCGACAATTAGACCACAAGTGAAAATTAAACTACATTAAGAGACTTATCTTTTCATATTTCAGTAGGAATTTCTTTGAAACAGTGGAGTGTTACATGAAGTACATATCAGATCTCTTCCATCTTAAAATGTTATCACTTAGTTTAATTCCTTTATCCACAAGCTTTATGTGCTAACTTATAATGTGTAGCTTCTACAAACTTAATTTCATTCCTAATGTTAAAGATTCTTAACTGATTCTGTACGTTTTCTCTAATCAGTTACATTGTTGGACCAAGTATACCTGACGACGTAAAATCAGAAAGACAAACTCGAGCGTTTAGTGAAAATATTTATTTCAGATAAAGCCATGCAGTCAAACAAAACTTGAAGTTACATGACAAGTGATAAACTTTTGAAGAATTGTGTTGAAAATTCTCAACTAATCAGTCACCATGCAAACGAAATCCGAAATATGTAAAATTTTTAAGACCCTAAGAATACGTCCAAGATTGCATTCAATGAAGATATAATAAATTCACTATTTCTCATTCGATAGTTTTATGATGATACTTTCTCACTAATTGTATCATTAATCTAAATCATAATATTAAGCAACACTTTATTTGGTAACTCATCACTTTCTTACAGTTACGAGTTAGTTCTAGAAAATACTGATTGTAAAACAGATTTTCACTATATGTCACTGACCTTGAAGGACATATACTCTAAATTCCATAGTGTACCAGTTCATACTGCTAAAATGAGTACACAATCCCTAATTAGTGCACCAAAATCTTCGATAGATGACAATTTACATGAAATAGTCCTTTCATATTTTATTGTCTGACTAAATGTTTTAACAGACTGTATATACAGCATCATGTTCTATTCCAATCACGATAATTTCGAATTATCTATAGCATTAAGGGCTGAAACTATACTTATAAGGAACCTTAGAGCAGAATATGAGTAACCTTGAGAAACTATAGCCAATTATTCAGCTCAAAATAGGGGTATGGATTATTGTAGTGAATAATAATCAGGGGTTAGATTTAGCAGCTAATATAAGCTACAGTTATAGTTTTCATCACAAACTGACATAAACTATGATGCGAGGCTATTTAGGCAAACGGGTGAATATATTTCTAGCCGAAATTCAGGATTCGCTAGCTGGAACCTGATTATTTCGTTCAGAAATTATAATCCTGCTCATTTCTGTGGTTAAAATTAATTTACAAACGCGATGATGTTTAAAGCGAACGATGTTGGGTTTGAGACTTGGAGTGAACATCAAATCTGGGATACAGGTACATCTAACTGACGAGTCCCAAATAGAGTGGGACTAGCATTCTGGATTACACTGCTAGCCACCATCCATCTTTGCTTATACTTTGAATGTCTCTAAGAAACTACAATCCTGATGATCTTTCTAATCTATTCTGAATTATTTCACTTCAAACTAATCATTACATTTATAACCATACAGATAATTATTTATCATAGTAATCTTGTACGGTATTGGTCAAATTAATTTATTTACATATTTGACAACTAACACCCTACCAATCATAACATCAATAAAAACATAGTTGGAATTGATTCAAGAACAAGTTATTGTGTAAAATAAAATATATAGTTGATTTATTGTGTACTTTGTATTATTGTAAGCGTACGTGAATGCGGAGTGAATGACTATATGCAATAAGAAAGTTCTATTATTTGGAGAAGCTAGTGAATTAGTTGGCTGCAAAGAAATTACAATACAATTTCCTGTATCGTGTACTAACAAAACATTGAAAGATATTATTTTTGAACAATTAGTCAAGTAATTAAATACAAATGATATTCATTAATCAGATTGGAACCCCTTAAAGATTCGTTAACAGTTGCAGTAGACTGGGAGTATACAGATATTAATACAAGTGTAAATCAACTATCCATTGAGGCGATTGAAGAACTCGCTATTTTACCACCGATTAGTGGAGGTTAGAAAACAAACCATATCATGGTAAGTACGATCTACTGTTAATTTAAAGAATTCTCAATACTTAATCAAAATATCTATTGAACCAATTGAATATTCCAATGTATTTGATTTAATCAGTGATTCTTCTATTGGAGCTGTTTCTACATTTTTCGGTAAGTGATATACATTTAAAAATAATAAATCAACCATTATCGTTTGAAAAATTCTTAGGGATTACTAGAAAATATGATAAAGAAAGAACTGTACAAGCATTGAAATATGAATGTTATTTGAAAATGACTTATTTAGAAATGGAAAAAATTATTAAAAATTCATATAAATTATGGCCATCAATAGTACATATAATTGTACTTCATAGATATGGGTAAGAAGTGATTTGATTTCCTTTCTTTTTTTCTTTCTTTCTGTATTAATGAGAATGAACCAAACATTAAATAGTCTAAAAAGTTATGAATATTTTTTCATTGATCTTGATTAGAAAGGGATTAGATATTTCTTTTGGTAATGAAACTAGGCCAAACGTATACACATCATGTATCTTATTTGCTACAAAGTAACTACAAAGTAGACTTTCGTTATTTTGATCATGCTTTTAATATCAGGGTTTTGTCACTAGAAATATCCAAATGACTATGATAGAGCATTAAATGATTGGCTTGAAAGTAAATGATTGTAAGAGATGTTCCACTATTGTATCTATATAGTAATACTTAATGCTATCAAATACTTCCCCCAAACAATGTTATTTCTGAAATATCTCAAAGACATTGCAAAAATGTAGTATATAGAGGAAATAACTTATTTTCTGTTATGTTTCTTATAGCAACCATAATGTGATATTAACTAATAATTAACAAATTTCATACAACTTTTCCCATTTATAAATTTGAATAAAGAAAGAGCAAATATTGTAACAGAATAACATGAATTCATTTATTTATTTTGTGGATTCTCCCTAACTGCTTACAACTTTAAACGATAAACTTTAATCAAAATTCTGGTATCTTAATTCTTACTTCTGAGCTTGATGCAACTCATCTCTATTACATAATCTATCTTTTGTTTCGAAAACAAAATACATTTTTTTTATTTCCATACTTTCCTAGAATATTTATACATTCAACCAATAAATTAGTGAACATTTAAATAATTTTATTAATTCTGTATTATAGTTAATTAATATTATTCTATCTCGACATTTTAACTCAATCTGATCTAGACAATTCTAATAAAAGATATGTACATTTGTTTTATTAATTGATACTATGGTTTTAAGTTGTAAACAGTTGAGGACAATCTACGAAATAAATGAATCCATACATATCATTACCAAAGTTTGACTTGATAATTTCGAATAAACTGAGCATTATGTAGATTGTTATAAATAAATAATATATTTATAATATCTTAATGAGTAGAAAATTAGATCTTCTGACGTTTTGCGACTTGGTGTAAGCCACTTCTTCAGAAAATCTAATTTTTCTACTCATTGGGATATTACAAACATATTATTTATTTATAAATGAATTCATGTTATTTTACTATGATATCTGTTATTTCTTTATTTAAATTGATAATTAACATTCTGAAACTTGTGTACAAATGAGATTTTAGTTAAACCATTTAGTAGTATAAATGATCCCATTCAAAGAAAATATACTCAATACACAGTTCTTTGTTTAAAGAATCAGTCATAAATGAATACTATTAGACCTTCTACAGCATGTATTACACATATCTTATCTTTGGTCATTTATCTCTATAAAGCAGTTAATCAATATGAGAAAGCAATATAGATTTTCTGTTCAATAAAATATCATCTTCAATTTTATCGAAATGAATTATAACTAGTGTAATCATTTTCAGTAACAGGTTAGTTCTCCTACATCATACATAAATGAACTTACATTGGTGTTTACACGAAGACTCAAATCCAGTCCCTTTCGCATTAAATGCTCAATGCATTATCCTCTGAGCTACTAAATTCAGATAGCCATAAACTTATTCAAAACGTATGATGTTGATATCATTTTTAGTATGAGTTAATGTTATTTCGTCTTCAATATTTTCAATTTGAAATGAAAAGTACTGAGTTAGAGTCCTGATTTGGATATCAACACTAGGATGAAGGTACATCAAGCTAACAAATCTCTAAATAGGATGAAATACAAATTCTGATTTCGATTAATAGCCAGAATTTATGAAATGGTTATTAATATTTATAGTTCCTGTTTTATATACTATGGACGAATAATACTTAAATAAATATATAAGACTAAAAAAAGTTTATCTAGGATCTGAGCCATTTAGTTCTATTTTTTATAGTAAATTTGACGCATACAGACAGAGTTAACAATTAAATTAACTATATCTCAGATAAAATACTGGAAAGTATCTACTTCTATCCAATAATTACAAAACGTCTAAGAACTCCTACTGAATAATGGGGATGATTTTAAGTTCAGTCTTATAAAATTATGGAACTTTATAACGTAAAAATAATCTCTTAACGATTAAATTTACACAATAATATGATAACCTTTTTTTTTGTTTTACGGTTACTATCAAATAATCTAATTAAACATTAGGATAGAAATGCTAATAAATGCTATTCAGCTTGGACATGTATCATTTACATTAATCTATCACTTTATAGTAATCAATTTTACATTATCTACTCTCTAGTACTGTTTCAATTCAATCGATCAATGTGGAATATAACAACTTAACTAAATAATTTACCTTCGAATTCGATTTGTTTGATGTTAATTAGCTAAAGATGGTTGTCAAGATAGTATGAAAGTAAATTTATTGAAAATAAATACTTTTTACCATGATGTAATTCCAAATTCGAGGTGATTAATACTGTTCATGAGGTTCGTATTTAACCTAATCTGTCTCACAATGAGAAATATTATTACCGAGCTGTTTGTTTCTCGGATGAAACTTTTAGAAGTTAAAAATATCTACCAGTGGGTTTTTGAGTAATTAATAACGTCAAATTATTTGTTTACCATCTAAATTTACTTAAAATAGTTTTGAAACGGTGATAGACAGTACTATACATACCGCTTGAGTTCTGCTGTTGCATATATAACATGATTTCTAGCTAAAGTAAATATCTCTTAATGGTATATCACCTACTCATTTTGATTAAATTCTTAGTTTAGATAAGTTTGTGGTTAATATGACTCAATTACCCATTGCGTAATGCATCAGAATTTTGTAAATGATAAATACCAGGTTTAAAACTCAGTTTGAATATAAACACTGAAATATAATTACGTACGGCTGACGAGTACCAAACATGACGAAAATTTCAACGTAAATTCCACTGTTAGACATTATTCAAAAATATGATTGGAATGGTTTTGACGTGAATGTCTGGAATAAAACCGCTTTTGTCATACCATAGTGTATGCTACTTGTGTTGACAAATATAAGTAGTATGTAACATCAATCGAAGTAGAATGAATGCCAGCGGAAGAATAAAAAGATTCGATTGAAGTGGACGGAAAGGAAAGCAAAAAGTAATTGTAATAACAACAGAATTGACAAAGTCTGGAAACACGTAAAGGACAAATGATGAGAAATATGCAAATGATGTATTTAATGTATGGTTTTCATGTTTAATTAAAACACTGTAATTTTACACTGGAAAACAAATTGGATCTCTCCATTAGGTCTTTATTCACTACAATACAGTAGAGGTTAACTTTAATTTCTCTGATTAAATAAGAGTTTTTTTACTCAGATTATAAGCATTATACATCTTAACCATATTGTTGTACTATTCTCATATTCCTTTTGTTTAGAATTGTTCCTGTAGGAGAAATCAGTGTAGCAATAGCTGTCAGTTCACCACATCGTAAAGATAGTCTTGATGCTGTGAAATATATAATCGAATCAGTCAAATCACGATTACCAATTTGGAAAAAGGTAAAATGAATTCTATAAAATAAATATATAATTATTTCAATGGTTAAGATCATGAGTTATTTGAAGCTAGACCACCGTGGAATACCTGGAAGCACTGGATTTGGGTGCGCACGGCTGAGGAGTCCCACAATAGGACGAGACGGCCGTCCAGTGGTTCCAGGTTTTCCATGGTGGTCTAGCTTCAACTGACTCATGATCTTAACCATTGAAATTACTATAATATTCACAAAACCATCTGATATAATTGTTTTTTTTCTTTTCGTTGTTAATTAAATAGGAGATTTATGAAGATGGTACATCCAAATGGAAAAGAAATAATGAATGTTTTTGGTTACAAGAAGAGAAATAAGTAAACATCATTAAAATTATTGTAAACGAATGGACTATTTAATAAATGTTCGCTATCAAATTATTATGTTATTTCTATGAATTCATAATTAAAATACTATAATTAATTTTAATGGAGTAAATCAATATCAAGATCATACTTTTATGTTAGTATTCATTAACAAACATGTATATATGTATGTAGGGTTTAGAGAACTAAATGTAACTAGTATTGATAATATTAATCGATTATATTTAATGTGACTTTTTTGATTTCATATTTGATGGAAACTTTTTTCTGGAAGTTCATAAATACAGACTAAATATTGAGAAAAATATATTGATTATAGCTAAGCAATGAATACATGAATGGAAGTGACAGATTAATTGACCTTTGAATTAGTGAACATAGAATAAATGGAAATGTAATAGTGTAACGGAGAAACTTAAGAGAGGAAGACCAAAGAATACATTACGCCGAGAAATGGAGATAGATATGAGAAAAATGAACAAGAATTGGATGGAACTTGAAAAGAAGGCCCAGGACAGAGTGGGTTGGAGAATGCTGGTCGGCGGCCTATGCTCCATTGGGAGTAACAGGCGTAAGTAAGTAAGTAACGGAGAAACTTATTACATTATTAGTTTATGTAGATGTCATAATGTTGACGTTGATTTAATCATTGGAAACACTCACACTCAATAATCTCAGTGAATGAACAAAATAGATGTTGTTTAATCACAAAGTACAGAGTCCAAAAGTATAATATGCAATAGAAATATATGATATACGAGTTATTACTGTCTTCACTCTTTGATCAATCACTGGTAACTAGTTGGACATTTCAATACATAACTCTGATCTAATTTTATGTGATTCCATGTGTTTATTTAATAAGTAGTAAAACTCTGAAAATGTGTTGATTCAGAGAAATAAGGAAAAAATAAAGATTTTAGTTCCAAAAATACCTTAGAATTTAAAAAAGATTTTTGACAATGAATTTTTGTAACTTTTATAGCCAGCATTAAAACCAAGAAGATATTACCAGTAATGAAAATCATTAATGTTTCTAAACGAGTTAGAGCACAACGGTACACTTAAAGTATGCCCCGTTTTAGCTAATCAGAATATAGCGAAAGTGCATAGTTAATTTATGTCGAAAAATGATAGAATTCACTAAGAGAATCTTGATTAATTACAGATGAACGATTCAAACTTGATCATAGGTTTCTACGCGTTAGAGTCAGAAGTGAGGATCAAAATTTAGATTTCGAAATTAAGGTTTGTTTAGATACATCATCCATATCCTAAAGCCTAATCCTAATTCTAATCCCAACCCCTAACCAAACATCTCGTTTCTATCCATAATCCTAACGCTAACTCCCAGACTGACTCTTAATTCTAAACTATTACACTGATTTAATCCTAACATGTGTCATATCCTCAATCGTAACCCAAAAAACCAATGTAGATAAATATCACACTACCTCTTATTTCTTTAAACTTATTCAGGATCGTTTCAGTCCTCCATTCACAGCTATGATAGTGAAACCAAATGACCAAATGAGTCCATATTAACTAATTTGTATAGTTGACAATATTCAATATTAATTGATTGGTTTGATAATAGATTTTGCCAATTTTTCATTATCTGTATAATCATGAATAGATTAATGAATGGAGATAAACATAGTAGAATTATGCATATTGATTTATCTTGTTAACTGTGAAACTTTCAATATGTTTATTATTTCATTAAAATAGCTTTAAATTATACTGACATTGTTCATGATTACTTGATAGAACAAATATAGTTTGTGATTATATAATTCAGATCAGATCAACGTTAATATTCATCAAATAAACTTTCTTTTTAATAAAAACCTTTAGATTGTAGTTATTTCCTCAAGATGTACATATCTCAAAGGAGAGCGATCAAATAAATTTTTTAAATGTCAAAAATCATAAACTTTTAAAATTACCTTGAAACTAGCTGAACAATTTATGCACTATTTGGCTTCAGTAATGCAGTGGATAACGCTTTTTGTGTTGAAAGCGAAAGTTACTGAGTCTGATGCTCGGTATGAATGTAAAAACTTTGATATTGGTCCATCCAACTGGTTGGTCCTAAATAAGACAAAATGCTCATCTTTTGTTCTACTGTTAGTCACAATCCAGTAATATTCTCAAACTAAATAAAATAAACTCTATACTGGTAATTGTCATGCGCCTAGCTTCGAGATGGAATTTTCGAAGTTCCAGTAAGAACCCGTGACCAATGGAGTTCAACCGCACCTGATGTGAGGCAGTTACTCACTGAAGACAATGATAGACGGTTGCGCAACATCGTAGAATGGTTGAAGTTAAAAAATAACACCTTTGGATGCCGACTCAGTGGTGGGGCGCGAGATCAAAGAACCTGAGTTCGAGACCCTCATACGAGATCGTGGATGCGCACTGTTGAGGAATCCCATACTAGGACGAAACGGCCGCCCAGTGTTTCAAGTTTTCCAATGGTGATCTAATATTGTTCAGTTCAACAATCTCCACAACCTTCTACTACGAAATAAAAAAGTCCACCTACTTAAGAAATATTTCTTCAATCTCATAACAATTATTCAAATCACAACCCCATTGATATGATGAATAACCATATTTAATTAATTTCACTATTAGAATCTCTAAGCAGCTAATATGAACTTACCAAAATAAAATCAATTCATGTCATTCATCTCAATTCTTTGTTTTCACTTTCTTCAAAGGTATAGTTAATAAGTTAATAGAACTATATTTTGTAATAAAGGAATCCCACTTCTAATAATCCCCTGTAAAGTTACCAGACAAATAAACAAAAGTTAATATCCTCTACTTTACACCATGAATTGTACTGAATCAGTAGAGTAACATTAAACAAGATACAATTATTTTTAAACTTATATCCATTTGTAACAAAAAATTCCTTTTCAATGGACAATGTTTGTTTTTTTTTAAATAAAAATGAAATAAATCCTATTAAGGAATGTACAAATTCTAAAGAAAATATACAATATCATTTCATTATTCTATACTTTAATAAGAATTATTAAATATTATTTAATTACTATGGAAAATTTCAGAGTCTTCTGTATCAGATACATAAAGTTTTTCACCTGTATACCTTTGTGGTTCAACTAATAATGGTTCAGCGGATAAAGCAATTAAATCTCGTGGTTCAAATTGAATTAACCAATCTTTTCTAGGATGTTTATTAAACATAATTGGAAGATATTCATCGATAGCAATTAATTTTTTTAAAGGTTTTTGTTTTAATAATTTTTCTGCACCATTTCTATTTAAAATATAACCAAGTGTCCAATAAGTATAATCAGGATAAGTTAAACTAGTTGTATTCGGTACACGTCTCTCTGATTTTGACATTCTTTTACGTCCAATATAGAGTAGATCCCAATTAGCAACATTTTCATCTGCTTCTTTAATAACTTTATTTAAATTACGAACAAAAGCAGGGGCAAAGCGTAGATCATCTTCAAGAATCAATATACGATTGTAACCATTGTTGATCATTTCCTAGAAATAAATAAATTTTAAAAAAACAATTCAAATATAAATTGACTTTGAACATCAAAAACACAAATAGTTTACGAATAAATTTAGATTTCATGTTTTGAAACAATAAAAAAACTTTATTATTTCGGACAGATTCTTTTAGTGATATTAAATACATGGCTGAATAATTAGGTTGTCATTTCACTACCATGTGAAACGAGCATTGATAATGTTGACAGGAATGAAAGATTCTTAATTAAACTATAACAAATGATAGTATAATATACATTTTGGTGGGTCACTACCTCACACCCAATGTGATTGAAATCCATTAGTCAAGGGTTCTCACTACAAGTCCAGGAAATCCATTTTGAAGCCAGTCACTAGTGAGTAAATTTATAATTTATTAATAAATAACTCTAAGGTCTTACACAACTAAACACATAAATATTAACGATTTATATGTGGACTTTGCTTAGGTTTAGTTCATTTTTAGATGACCTTATTGATAAGTTCTGTTAACTTGTATGTTATCAACCACTGAACAAATTCTTCTGCTTATCTATCCTTTAACACGAAAAGGTACATGTACATTGGAATTAATACATATTAAGTGATATATATATATATATATATATATATATATATATTTGCGTAAGTAATTGAAATATAAATGCTTCACAAAGCCTTATCCATCAAAGATATGTTGTTTCATATGTTCAGTACTCGGAAATTAACATTTTATTTTTTAAAAAAAATTGAACTGAGATAACCTACGTTTATAATTTCAGTACATCTAAAGTTGAGACAATAATCAGTAGTTTATTTCAGTTCCGAAAATATGGTATATCAATTTGTTAATCCACTTCAAAAGTCCCACCACATCAGGAACTACACACTCGAAAAAAATGAAATTATTTAGGCTGACTGAAAAATCAAGGGTTGTTGAGATAAAGAAACCAAAAATTACTTATTAAATCAACTAACAATTTGTGATCTTTGCCAGCTTCTAGAAGAAGCCTCAAAGTTAATAATGGTTTAGAAATCAGACTGATCAGAATTAGAAAGTACACAAATTCATCAACTTGTGAAATTTACCTGGAACACTTATCGACAATATGCATATTGAGCATTTCTCAGTTACTATGAGATTCTTACAAATAATTTTTACCATCTAACAATTTTGAATAAGATATGTTTACTATTTCTGTGTTTAAATGACCCGCAAATGCTGTGGTATGGCCAAAGTTGGGAAGAGTAAGCTTTAACCGGGTTGGTGGACACGAAGGACCCACCTAGGGGAGTTGGAAAACCCTGGTTCTAAACCAATGGAGTACTTGGAATCCAGGATCCTAAGGAAGCAAATTGCGTATGAACCTTTGTTGATCATCGGCTGCCATGGAACTGCATGCCCCTACGTCTCCCTATTGACTTGTGAATTAGACCTTTAGGTCAATGGCTTGAGGAGTGGCCCCCCTAAGAAACCCACCTGTTTCGGTTTGGGCATCCGGGTAGTATTCCAGCTTTGACACAAATAAATGAAAAAGTGTAATGCTCTCTTGTACCAATTTTATGTGTTTAAATAAATAAATGCAACGACTTAATCACTACAGTTATAGTTTAAAATACATAAATTTATATTGTATTCCTTAGTCTGGTACTATAAATATACTTATCATGTAAAATGACGTAAAGGGGTTATTGTAAATTAATACCTAAATTAATTACAAAAGTTTACAGAAGTCAACATACAATCCATATATTATAATGACTTAAAAAGCAACCAATTTCTCCAAATTTCAGCGATCGATTATGGTAAGGATCTGTATAACCTGGAAGTTGTTCAATTCCTAATTCATCAAAATATTTCATGGTTAAATCTTTTCCATCAATAGCTGCATAATGTTTAGCATTTATACCTAACTGATGAAGCATATATTCCATTTTTTGTCGACGATCGGGGCGTCTCAATAAATTAATAAAATAAATCTCATCAAAATTTAATTTATTTGACTTAGGTAATTGATTTTCAGCAATATTTAATAAACATTCTGAAGGCATAACTCTTTGTTTATCCTCTTGATCGATAATTGCTTGTAAACGTAAATGAACAAATAGATCTTGTTCACGCAAAAGCCATGCATTATTTAAATCTTTTGAATATAATGCAAGATCTTGTTCTTCAACCGGTGATGGAATATATCCATAAAATTGTGTATTATCTAAATAAAAATCAATTTCTGCACGTTGTACTGATCTAGAAAATATTATAATATCGTCAACTGGTCCTGTATAGTTTATTGGTGCAGGAGAATAACCAACTTGTTCAGATTGATAAAATTGTAAATTAATTAAAAATATTGAATGCACCATTGCTACAGGATATACACCTTGTATACGACGTTTTTGTATATCAAAATAATGCTCTGAGCGTAGGTAGTAACCTTCTTCAGACATAGCACCCCAAAAATTAGAATAATGTTCAGATGAGGTACAATTCATCAATGGTGCCAAAATAATAATATTTTCATTAATTTTATGATCTAAATTAGATTTAGATGTAGATACTGTTGAATCAAGCATAACATTAATTAAATGTTCAATAGTCAATGGATTCATAAGAATCACATCAGCGTCAATAGATAAATAAAAATCAGCCCAGATATTACGTGCCTCATCTAATAATTTCTGACGCAAATTTATAACATGTAAATAATGATCTACAGTCCACATTTTACTCAAATTTTCATATTCTGACTTAGTTATATTACGTTCTTTACCTTCAAAAATTATATTATGATATTTATCTTTGTTACATTGAATCCATTCATTTAATATTATCTCACTTGAATCAATTGTATTATCAACATAAAAGATTAATGTAATACGTTTAGTTGGATATTGTTGATTTTCTATACCATTTAAGAAATATGGTAATGTATGAGCTTTGTTACGAACTAATACACCAATACATAATGTTGGCATTAAATAATTTAGATTTTTCAATAGAGATATTTTTTGTCGTAAGTTACATTCATCATTTAATTGATTATTGAAATCTTGATCATTGATCTCTTTGTTAGCACTTAATGAATTTAATAGTTTTTCATTACTTCCATTCTCATTATGATTGAATTTATTTTCAAATGTTGTAGATTTTATTAATACAATACATAAATAAAGGAATGATATTAATAAACAACATAATAGAAATCTTTTATTCATGATGTAATGAAATTTTTGAGAGATAACTTTAAATTTTTTCTGTTCGGAATTTTTTCGATTTACTTCAGAATTATTTGAATGTTGAATTGTATTTGTATTTGAATTAGATTTATGAGATTTACTTTTGGTTAATAATTTTTGAAAGGTAGGTCTCTCAGTATTTTGATGATGACGATGAATTTTCTTACTCATATATATATGTACTGCTAGAAAGTTTTAATGATAGAGTTTTGATAGAATAGAACAATTTCCTTTTAAAAATCTACCTGAAGTAGAAGTAATTTCTCATTTTATACAGTATGTTAGTTTTATCCTATTTCGAGGGAAAATTATTGATTTTTTGCACAGTGTATAAACCAATAAGATTTACGTTTACAACAAATATTCTGTGCATTTGGTAAGAATTAAATGAAAACGGCCAATCATTTGGCATACAATACATACAAATAACAAACAAAGGTATCTTATATACATATTTTACTTTTTATCTAGACAAATTTAAGAACTACAGAAAAAAATCAGACGTGACTAATCACAGTTTTCCAACTAACTTGTTTAGTATTGGGAGATATAATTTTTTTTATAAAAAAATTATTCAATAAAGCAAACAGTCAAATATGACATGCCGGTCAGATTTAGCCTGATATTCTGTGCTGAAAATAACTGGTTAGTCAAAGATTTTCCTGTTCTATTATTAGTTGCATTCAAAATAACATACAAATTTCTTCATGTCATTGAAAATAAATTATTTGTTTATTTGACTGCATTGTTTTGACCTGAAGTGCACGAAACGGCAGTCCAGTGCCCCCAGCTTTTCCATGGTGGTCTAACTCTAATTGACTCATGAATCCTACTATTAAGTCGTGCAACTGTTTAATCGAATCATGACAACAGTTAGTGTAAAACGTCTCAGACTGCATATTTATTTAAAATTAACATATATGTTTATTAAAAAATTGGTTAGAAGCAAATTACCTGCAACTACCATTCAAGTATATGAATATCAATTCCTATTAAGCTAAATATCATATTGAATAATGGGAAAGCATTAGAATTGACAAAGAAAAATTTGTCAAAAATAAAACTGCGATAATTTCGACGCAGGTTAATGAGTAAAACGAACAGGCTAAAGTTAGAATTTATTTATTTATTTATTTATTTGAACACATAAATATTGGTACAGAGGGGCACCAAATATATATGCGCCACACAAAACAATGATAATTTGAAGAGAAGGAGAAAAGAGAAAGAAAAAAAAAGTAATGAACGTGGGGAATTATAAAAAAAAAGGGAGAGAGACAGAACAATGTTGGGGGAAACGGAAAGGTACAATCAGAAGAGATCTTTCAGTTAAGGAAGATATAAACACTTTTTATGAAGAAAGTAAGAGGTTACAGCACGATCGCCACTGGCTTCTATTCTGAGCCATATCTGATAACGTCTCTAGCCACTGCGTTACACCGTCTCTCGGACCCCAACCAGGGAGTCGTGAAGGACCAACACAAGCTAGCCCTTTGCAGCTTTCTTTCATACCACGACACCATGTCATATACTGACCACCTCTCCGCTTTTTCCAACCAGTCCCAGAGTCGGCAAATAATGCACGACGTGGAATTCTCTGGGACGACATTCGTAGAACATGTCCAAGCCACCGAAGTCGGTGTTTCAAGATGGTGACACCAATTTCATTATCGTCTCTGTGCCTGTGCACACGATGCCGAACCTTTGCATTACTGACATGGTGTTGCCACTGGATGCCAGCAATCCTTCAGAGACAACGATGATCGAACACAGAGAGTCGTCTAACATCCTCAACTCGGAGAGGCCAGGTTTCACAAGCATAGAGCAAAACTGCTCTCACCGTCGCGTTGTAGATCCAACCTTTTACAGCCAGACTAACATCACGAAGGCGCCAAAGATGGCTCAGATTGGCATAAGCCGCTCTGGCTTTCACTATGCGTGCATTGATGTCATCACTCACACCACCACCAGCACTTATGCAGCTACCTAGATACACGAACTTCTCGACTACTTCTATCTGCTCACCATCCAGAGTGAGTACAGGATTAGAATCCTGCCAGTCTTGTAGAAGTACTTTGCACTTCGAAGGTGCAAAGCACATACCATACCTACGGACATTGATTGCCAACTGATTAAGTGCGGATTGCATAGCTTGGGCATTCTCGCACAGTAAGACAATATCATCCGCATATTCAAGGTCGAGAAGTCTTTCTCCAGGCAACAGATCCACACCACCATTACTTACATCCGTCAGAGCTGTTTCCAGAATGTCATCGATGGCAAAGTTGAAGAGGAATGGTGAGATTGGGCAACCCTGCCTAACCCCACTGCTTGAATGGAATAACGGAGAAAGGTGGTTGTATGCCCTCACTCTGCCTGAGGTGTTTGTGTATTGGGCTTTTAGGATGTTAATAAACTTCTCAGGCACACCCTTCTTCAATAGACAATCCCAGAGAACAGTTCTGTCCAACGAATCGAAGGCAGCCCTGATATCAAGAAACACTACGATTGTTGGCCTTTGATAAGTATGGCGGTGTTCTAACACTTGGCGGAGGGTGAAGATATGATCAATACATCCTCGACCAGAACGAAACCCAGCCTGCTCCTCGCGAGTCAATCCTTCTCGGGTCCTGAACAACCTACGAAGTATGACGGAAGCCAATAGCTGGGACGCAATCGGAAGTAGACTTATCCCCCGATAGTTGTTACAGGAACAACGTGAACCCTTTTTAAAGATAGGGACAACTATCGACTCATTCCATGACGTTGGTACACTCTCTAGTTCCCAGATCTTTGTAAACAACGTCGTCAGTCCCTTAGTCAAAAAGTCACCACCATCTTTAAAAAGAGCCGGAGGTAAGTCGTCTGGGCCCAGTGATTTGTAACGTTTCAAGAGTTGGAGTTCCTTGCGGACTTCCGCCTCATTTGGTGGATCAGTCGTCACCGGCCATGGAGGGCAGGACAGTCTGACCGATGTTGCCGGAGCAGCAGGCCAGTTGAACTGCCCTTCAAAGAATTCTGCCCATCGTCCAAGAAGTCGATGGATGTTAGTGATTGGCGTTCCGTCATCCTCGCAGATTGTTTCGCTCACACCAGACTTCTTGCTGCCAGTGGCTCGGATGAGTTGGAAGAGCTTCCGGTAATTACCAGATGCAGCTGCTGCTTCCAACTCACTGGCACGCTCCGACCACCAAGCTTCTCGGTCCTTACGCAAGCTTTGCCCAATTTCATTACGTAACATCCTTCGTCTGTGGTCAAACTCACGGTCACCCGGAGTAGACCGACGGGCTTCAATCAGTTGTAAGGAACCAGAAGAAACCCAGTGCTTGTAAGCGGGACGTTTCGCAAACCCACAACAGACTTGACCCGCCATTTTCATGGCGTCATGCAATTGCAACCAATGCTCATCTATACTTTTCGGTGGAGTGGTAGCTAGCCTAGAAGCTAGCTCGGTTCGGTACTTACTAGCAACAGAAGTTGCAGCCAGCTTGCTAACATCAATCCTTTGGTGGCGGTCACTTCGTTGTCCACTGAAAAGTAAGGTAAGATTGGCGCAGACCAGAGCATGATCAGATTCCAGATAGGTACTCCAAAAGGAGCGGCAGTCTTGTACACAACCGCGCCAGCGGTAGCTGATCGCGATGTGATCAATCTGAGTCCAGGCTTGAGATGCAGAAGGAGGACGCCAGGTGGCACATCGGCGATGACTGTGCCGAAAGTTAGTGCTAGCCAGAAACAGGTTGTGGTCTGTGCATAGTTGCAGTAGACGTTCCCCGTTATCTGTCCTGCGACCAACGAGTCCCCATCGGCCACCTAAACGACTCTCTTCTGTGCCTAGACGCCCGACCTGAGCATTCAAGTCTCCAGCTAGTACTACAATATCTGTCGAACGCACTTTCTGGAGAAGAACAGTTAGCTGATGGTAGAACTCGTCCTTGATTGCATCCGGGCTGCAATCTGTCGGGGCATAGGCGGAGATGACGAAAAGACATCGTTTCTCACGCCGATTTCTTCTCACTTTGATGGAACTTTCTAATCTAACAGCACATAACCGACTGTTTATTATCGTTGAGTAAAGTTGTTTCTCAAAGTTAGAAACATGAACTCCAAATTTGTGGTATAACTGTTCTCTAGTTATGAGACTTGAAAGCGTTATATTTTGTCCCATATGACGTTGTGGATGCCTACCGATGAGGCGTTCGAAATTAAAACACAATTATTATTTGGTGGTCATTAATTCCTAATAATCACCTAGCAAGTTTCAGTCTTAATGTAAGAGGTTTGTGTAGATTGCTGAACTTTAGAGTGTACAATACGAACTGACCTTAGCTAGACAACCATTTAATAACGACGAGGCACTAGACAGTTGTTTCATCCTGGTTTGGGACTCATCAGATTCGTCTACCAATGACCGCGTTGGAGATCGAATCCATGATATTCATGTTTCATAGCGAGAACTTAGTCTTTAGACCAGTAAGTTAGCATCCAATAGTTTATATTTCTAACTTCAATGACTTCACTGTATTGGACAACCATCTTCTATTACAATCGTTACCTCACACGACACGATTTATCTGCGCTGGTTACTGATTCTCACTACAGCTGATGAAATTAACTCCTGAAGTTAGTCACTAGTGAGCAAGTGATTTATATTATTATTAGCGCAAGAGCCTTCTGCACATAGCTGAATTTGTTTGTCAAATTATAAACTGGATTTAGTTAATGTGTTGTGCAAATTATTTTTTAGTCTTATTTTATTCATTTGATCAATCGATGATATTCAAGCAGCATTAAAACATTAACCCACATTAATTGGCGAACCACTGCAAAACAGGAGACTATATTTTTATTTCGATCTACTTATGATTTTGTTTATCTTCATATATAACCAATCTTAAGATCTAATCGGAGAAGTTCGTTAAATACAAAGGCAGTTCTAATAAATTAGACCAATTTCTACGGATGAATACTACCTTTTGGTCTGATACTAATATGGAGATAAGTAGATCTAAGCTGTTTTCAGTTTGATTAAAGACGAAATAGAAGAATGATGATTAAATGTTCAGTCTGAATAAAAATGACAATCCAACATTCTTTTAACTTACTTTAATTTTTCGACCGAAATCATTTCACAGTGAAATTCCAATACACATATAACTTAGTTATATTAA